CCGCCACGACGACGACGACGACGACGACGACGACGCCGCCTACGACGCCCACGACGACGACGACGACGACGCCGACGACGGCGACGACGACGACGACGGCGCCGACGACGACGACGGCGCCGACGACGACGACGACGACGCCGACGCCGACGCCGACGACCACGGCGCCCACGCCGCGGGCGGGGGCCGAGGTCGGGCGGGCGGGCTGGGATCGCGGCGGTGCGGCCTCCCGCAGGTGCAGAGGGGGAGCGTCCGAGTGGGGGGTCGCCTAGCAAAACGGACTGACCCCCAGGTTGTTGCTTCGAAGTTGCGAAAGGTACTCCAGATTTTGTAATAAAGGGAGGGGGGTCTCATTTCGGGGGGGGTCTCTTCCAGGCTATCTTGGAGGGCCTGGGGGGTCTGGGGACGATGTTTTGGAGGGTTCTCCCACAGGGGAGGTCTGAAATGGCTTGTCTCGGAGGGTCCAGACCCCCTCCCATTTATTGCGAAATCTGGAGTACGGCATGGGATGTTCGTAGAGCTGCGGGTCATGCCACGCCTTGCTCGAACCCTCGTCGGAGAAATTGGGGGTACATCAAATGATGTAGTCGGTCTCCTTGTGGAAACGTGTGCACCTCGTGGTCTGAGCTCTTCTTGGCCACGGTGCTCGTGGTAGATCCTTCTTGCTGCTCAAGGCGGGCCTCGCCCCCTTCCGACCGCTCCCGCCCGATGGGTCTCGGCTCCCTGCAGGGGGGCCAGGTGTTCTTCAGGGGGTGGGCGTGGGAGGAAAGTCAACGTTTCCTGGATTCGGCGTCTCGGCATTGGGCGAAACGGGGCGGCGGGGAGGGGGGAGTCGGGCTCGGGACCTCTGCGTAGCGCGACTGTTTGCAGCAGTGCGTCCCATGGGGAAGACTTCCCCTGCTCGAGGCAGGCGCCAAAGACAGCCAGGATCCACCCCATGGGGTGGGAGGGTGGGTGCGAAGACCCGCGCCGATCGGCAAAACAATGCATAAAAGAACGACCACAAGGCGGCACCGCGTGTTTGAAGGGGCCCTGGGACACACAAAGAAATACACACATATGAAAAGATTCCCCATATTTTCCCATAGTTTCTGGGTTTTTGTCTTCCCCCCCACTTCCCATAGTTTCTTATATTTTCTGGGGAATCGAAGATTAAGTGTGTCTGTGTGTTTCTTTTCCTCCTGAGTGTTTGGACTGCGCGTTGCAAAAGGGGGGGTCCCTCGGGACAGGGCCACCCCGCCGCGAGTGCCAAAAAACCGACCCGGAGGGCCTGCGGGCCAGCGCCAACGGGGCGGCGGGTGGCGCCCAGGAAGAGGAAGGGGCCCTGGAGGACTGGCCCTCGGGGCCCGCCCGAGTGGTGCAGGCGCGGGGCACGGGGGACAGGCTGGGGGGAAGAGAACAGGGGGCGGGGGGACTGGCCGTCGCTCGGACGTCCATTCCCTGTGTTTTTGTTGTCGGTGTCGTGCGCGGTTTTTTCGCCAATGGATCAAGGCTGCTCCTCGAGGGTCCTCGCCGAAGGGAAAATGCACACGTCCGAGCGATGCCAAGGGGGTGGGAGGCGGAAAAGAGAGGAGGGAGGCGGGAGATCCTGATGGATCAGGCGGGGTTCAAGTGGGACTGCGCAGGACCAGTCCAGCTTCAGAGCTTGCTCGGCCTCCCTTCTGGAAGTCGCTTTGACAGCAGCGTGCAGACCACGCGGCCAGGATCAGTGGAGACCTGTGTAAGAAGCACAAAGAGCTGAGACCCCTGTCGAACAGCTTCAGGCACAATTGCATCCCCACATCATTCTCGAATGCTGCTGGTACTTTTAGATGTTCCACGGTACCTCAACCCTCCCGACGAAGGCCAGCTTCAAACAAGCTGCGCTGCCGCAGTTGGGGCAGTGCTCAGCAATGCTCAAGGTCCCGGCGCTATCTCGCGGGGTGATCTACCGCCGAAGAGAAAGCACGCCGGTTCGAGAAGATGCTGCACACTGACCGAAAACTCGGATTGCCTGCACACCGCCTGCCGCTCGGAACATCCACCAGCTATTGCCAACTGCCCTTTGGCGCTGGCCACGACATTGCCCCTGCGCGCTCTGGGCGCCATCGAGGGAGGTCCAGCGTCGACCAGGGAAACTCGCGCGGACCTGTGAACGTTTTCTGATTCGGCGTTTCCGCATTGGGCGGCAGAGGGGGGGGGGCTCGCTCCGGACCTCTGCTTGATGCGGCTGTTTGTAAGAGTGCGCCTCATGGGGGAGACCCGACCTGCTTGAAACAGGCGCAGAGGAAATGCGCATGCGAGGGCCCGCGCCGATCGGCAAAACAATGAATGAGAACACGATCATCAGACACAAAATGTCTACAGTCAACCCATATCGTAAGCATGGGTGGTGCGGATGCAGGGGCCTCGGAAGGCCATGTGAACGCGTTTGAAGAGAGAGAGATTGGCCAGCGAAAGTCGCCAAGGATGGGCCGAGGAGGCAAGGATGAAAGGGTACCATTGTCGACGGCGCGCAAACATGGGTTAGCGATCCATGGATTTGGCGCGCGGTCGACAAATCCATGAATCGGGGCACGTGCCTTCCCCAAAATGCCGCCGGTGCCGCCTCGCTCGGCGGCGGAAATCCGCGATTTCCCATGGGAACGGGACCCGTCGCTAACACGCCCCCCTAATCCATGTTTGCGATTGCCTGACCTCGGGAAGGTCGTTCCTCCTCACTGTGCGTGTTGGTTGTACGCAGTTTTTGGGCCCCCCGCCGCTCCAAGGGGGGGGGGGGGGCACTCCAGGGCCGCTCGCCTCTCCAAGGGGGAAAGGGGCGCTTCGCGCAGTGGGCGCGAAGACTCGCGACGGGGACTCGAGATGGGAGGGTGCACGTGCTGCAACATCGGTGATACGTCTCTTGGGTTTGCACTGGTCCTCTTCCTCCTCCTCCTCCTCCTTTTCCTCTTCCTCCTCCTCCTCCTCCTCCTCCTCCTCCTCCTCACTACCGTCTCATCATTCCTCCTCCTCCTCCTTCTCCTCTTCTTGTTATTCTTATTGTATTATTATTCTTATTTTATTATTACTATTATTATTATTATTATTATCATCATTATTATTATTATTAGTATTATTATTATTATTAGTAGTAGTAGTAGTATTATTATTATTCTTAGTATTCTTCTTCGTATTCTTATTATTCAGAATATTAATAGTATCATTATTATTATCACTCCTCTTATTATTCTTCTTATTCTTATTACTCTTATTATTATTATTATTGATATTATTATTATTATTAGTATTAGTCTTCTTATTAGTCTTATTAGTAGTTTTATTCTTCTTCTTATCATTATTTTTATGAGTATTATTATTATTATAAGTATTATGATTATTGTTGATACTATTATTAGTACTATTATTATTACTAGTATGATTATTAGTATGAATATTAGTATTATTATTAGTATTATGATTAGTAGTATTCTTATTATTATTAGTATTATTACTCTTATCATTATTATTACTCTTATTATTATTCTTATTATTATTTTCATTATTATTCGTCCTCCTCCTCCTCCTTGTCCACCTCCTCCCCTCCCTCCCTCCTCCGCCCCCTCCTCCTCCTCCCCTCTCCTACCTCACTCCTCCTCTTCCTCCTCTCCCTCTACGCCTCCCCCTCCCCCTCTCCTCCTAACTCGTCGTATCGTCCTCCTCCTCCTCCTCCTCCTCCTCCTCCTCCTCCTCCTCCTCCTCCTCCTCCTCCTCCTCCTCCTCCTCCCCCTCCTCGTCCGTAACCATTTTGGCTCAAGCCGTGTTCCCCGCTTTCTCCGCAACCTTTTCGCCCATGGTCGGCGGCTCGGTGGCGGCGGCGGCGGGCGCGCCTTGGATGGCTGCGGGGGGCTGCCCGCTGATGTGGCGGCCCAGTGTGATCAGGATCATGGAGACGGACTCCCTCGGCGCTTCCGCGGCGAGGCGTGCTGCTCGGCGGCGCGGTCGCGCGGCTCTTGAAGCAGCACTGCGGCCGCTGGTTGCGGCACGGGGCGCCCCGGGCTCGTGGGTGGACCGCGAGCGTGCGTCGAGGCCGGCTTTGAAGAAGATTGCAGCAGGGGATCGTGTACCTGGCGTGATGCGGCTCAGGCGGAACACTGCCTGGCATGCGCGCCGCGTGCCGCCTGGCGGGTTCACGGCGGCTTCCTCGGCGGCGCTGTCCTGGGCTGCGGCTGGTCCCCGTCTGGGGCATGCGGCGAGTGGCATGCGGGCTGAGGCCATGCCGTTCGAGCCGAAGGCCTGCCGAGTCGTGGGCGTGCGCTGCAATTGCGGTACCACGGTGTTCGCGCCGAGCCCGCCCCCTGCTGTGCAGATGCCGCGCGTGACGGAGTCCGACGAAGGCACCGAGCAGTGCGAGAGCGTGGACGTGGACTCGGAGTTGGCTGGGCGGCGCATGGCTCAACCTGTGCAGGGGGAGGCGAGCGTCGACGAGGCTGCCGAGGAGTTCGCGGAGCCGCAGGTCTCGCAGGCGCCGGTGCCAGGCGCAGTGGTGACTGACTCCATGATCAGCGGGAGCGACAGCGTGGACGTGGACTCGGAGGTGGCTGCTCGTTGCGTGGCTCATCCTGAGCCGTCGCGGAGCTCTGGCACGGCGGTGGCGTGCAGCTACCCTTGTGATGCACGGCGTTGGACGTCGGCCGAGGGTGCGGTGTCGGATGCCTCCTACGCGGCGCAGGGGGAGGCGCGCGGCGGCGCTGTCGCTGAGGAGTTCATGGACGTGCAGGTTTCGCTGGCGCCGTGTGCAGGCGCTACGCTGGGCGACGGCGTCTCGGACGCTGTCGCGGTGCCGAAGAAGAAGGGTCGCTGTCGGGAGCTGCTGGAGAAGGCCGAGCGGGACGGCACTTCCCCCTTCTCTCCCGAAGTCATGGCCCAGCTTCTCGGCCGCAGGTGGCGCTGCTCTACTTCGGCGTCTCCGAAGGCCTCGTCACGGTCGGGGGGTCCAGGGCTGGTCGGGTCCAGCCTGGGCCCCCCGCGGGCGCACGTGTGTGCACTTCTCAGCCATTTCAGCCATTCCTCCCCCTCCTCGCTCTCGCCTCATGATTCCTCCTCCTCCCCTTCCGAGACACCGAGACAAGACGGGTCAGAGAGCACAGAACAATAAAGCTGAGGCAGCGCAAGCCACCCGTGAGAAGCGGGGGAAGGGAGGTACAAAGGCCATGGATGCCTTTGGGCTGCCTGACCGAAGTTGCGGACGGCAACAGGGCCGCGCAGCGGAGGGAAGGGGTCCTCCACACTCCACATGTCGTAACTAGGTGCTTCCCACGCGTGCGCAACAGCTGCGGAGGACGGGGGGGGATCCCCCACTCCCCCGTCCGATAAAACACGCGCAACACCTACGCACACACAGCGCGCGCACACGCACGCACAATAATACTCGAACCCCCCCGCTCCCCCACCTCCCCCAAAGAGAGCCAGCATAGTGCTGAAAACTCTGGAAGAGGTTGAGGTAAGGGGGGGAGCCAGCGGAAAATAATGGAGGGAAAAAGGAAGGATAAGAGGGGCAAACTGGAGATCCGAGCACTCAGCAGCAGACCGCGGCCGATGGGCATCCAAGGCCGTGGGGTGCAAGTGCTCTCTTCACCCTCCCACCCCTCGCTTCCACTCCATGCCCAGCCTCTGCTACTACACATGGCCGAGGACCCTCGCACAGGCGCAGTCTACAATGTCTGTGAGCTCCTGCTGCTTAGTGATATACTCGTTCTGGCTAGCACGGGAATTGACCTTCAGCCATTCGGGGGTGCGCATCACGTCCTTGCCTAGGTGCCCAAACTCATTCAGGACAGCCGCGCTCGTGATCTTTAAACTGGGCAGGTTCTCGCGCACATAGTGGCAGTAAATCTCGAGGTTGGTCTTCGCCTCCAGCGACTCGGCCACTCCGCTTACGTCCTCCATCAACTCCTTGGAATTGGCGCGCTCGTAGTTATGGATGCTGATCTGCACCTGCTGCTGCGTCTCAGCCTCCTGCTGGATCTGATGGGAGAATGGCCTTCCACCACTTCCTGGCCCTTTGTGTCAGACTTGTTGTGCTGCTGCTGCTGCTGCTCGTGGCGGGAATGGTTCAAGATGCCCGCTCGCCGCTCCAGCAAGATAGACCTATGGTCGCCCAGCCGATCCACAATTGAAGCATCATTCGGTTCGCCTGGAAAGCTGAAAGGTGATACGCCATCTCTGCCTTGATGTTCGTTGCTCTCTAGGTTGAAAAACTGGCACTCGGTACTTTGCCGCCCCTTCGGCAATGAACTCTGTGATGAAGAAGGTGCCATGCCTGTCACTTCCGGCTCTGACAAAGTGCTAAACTCGTCCCTCTGCGAACCGCACAAGCCCTCGACAGCCTCCACGAACTCCTCCACCGACACCGTGGTGATATACCGAACAATGGAATATGCGATGTCAATGTTGACCAACTTCTTCTTGATCCTTTTCGGGAACGCGCGGTACGCCGAACACCCTGCCGCCTGTTGGAGTCCTTGGACCTGTACCCCCGTTCGGCTTGAAAGGAGGCGAAAAAGTCGGCCATGGGTGTGGCCGATGAGAGCAGCCGGATCTTCCATGGCGAGGCAACCATGGAATAAAAGGGGAAAGGGAGTGACAGTGGTGCAGAGCAACACGCGCCGAACCTTGAGAAAAAAATGGTTACGGAACCTCCTCCTCCTCCTCCTCCTCTTCCTCCTCCTCCTTCTCCGCCTATTCCCTCCTCCTCCTCCACCTCATCCTCCTCCTGCTCCTGCTCCTGCTCGTGCTCCTCCTCCTGCTCCTCCTCCTCCTCCTCCTGCTCCTCCTCCTCCTCCATCCTCCTCTCCTCCCCCTCTCTCCCCTCCCCTGCTCCTCCTCCTCCTCCCCCCTCCTCCTCTCTCTTCTCCTCCTCCTTTTCCCCTCCTCCTCTATCCTCCTCCTCCTCTCCTCCTCCTCGTCGTATCCTCCTCCTCCTCCTCCTTTTTTCTATCCTCTCCTCTCTCCTCATCCTCCTCCTCCCTCCTCCTCTCCTCTCCTCCTCCTCATCTCTCCTCCTCTCACCTCCTCCTCCTTCTCCTACTCCCTCTGCTCCTCCTCCTCCTCCTCCTCTCCTCGTCCTCCTCCTCCTCCTCCTCCTCCTCCTCTCATCGTGTATTCGTCTTCCTCCTCCGCTAGCTCTTCCTCACCCTCCCCCCATCCCCCCCCATCCTCCTCATCCTGCTGCTCCACCTCTTCCTCCTCCTCCTCCTCCTCCTCCTCCTCCTCCTCCTCCATCCATCCATCCCCCTCTCCTTGTAAGCAGTTCCTCCGTGTCACCCTCAGACATGTCGGTATGGCTGGCCGGGCGTTTCGCCAGAGACATCCTCACCAGTCGTGGCCCTGAAACTTGTAATTCGCAGTAGCTTTAAACATAGAGGGCGTGTGGTTTTCGAAATGTGGTTTTCGCCTTGGCGAGCGCACATTCGCCCTACAAGCTTGAAATAGCGTCAAGGATCAAAAGCGGCTCCTTTTCAAAATGTGGCTCTCGCCTTAGCGCCTCGCTCATCCGTCTTGCAAATGTACGGCGCATTCGTACGGTTGAAGTCCCAGGCATTGTCTTCTGGTACAATTTAGGATTGTCAAGGCGCAACTGTCACGTTGATTCACTGTGTTGACTTCCCAAGAATGGCGTTCCGACAGGATTCGGCATCGTTTGAACGCAGCAGTCACGTTGGTTCGCGGCGCTGTAGTGCCAAAAGCGGTGCTCTGGCACGAAGAAAGGTCGTCAGGAATTATCAGGCGCTTGTTTTCCAATGGGACACGTCGTGTGATGACAGCACAAGCTTGTAGGGACCCATGAAAAAAATTGGAGGAAGGGCTCTTTGTAGCATCGTTGATACACCCCTTGGGTTTGGACTTGTCCTCCTCCTCCTCCTCCTCCTCCTCCTCCTCCTCCTCCTCCTCCCCCTCCTCCTCCTCCTCCTCCGCCTCCTCCTCCTCCTCCTCCTTCTCCTCCTCTCATCACCTTCACCATCACCATCACCACACCATCAATCACCATCACCATCACCATCACCATCACCATCACCATCACCATCACCATCACCATCACCATCACCATCACCATCATCATCAGCATCATCATCAGCATCATCATCATCAGCATCATCATCATCATCATCATCATCAGCATCATCATCATCATCATCATTCTTATCATCATCCCTCTCCTCCCCCTGCTCGCCCTGCTCATCCTGGCCCTCTCTCGGCACGCCGCGGCAAGGTGGGGAGGCAATCGGCGCCGCGCCGGGCGCGCCCGTGTCAGTCGAGGCCAGGCAGTGGAACGCTGACTCCCTGGGGAGGAATGAAACGGTGTGTGTGGGAGGGGGCAAACAAAAACACCAAGAGCACGGAAAGGGTACACAAAGTGCAGCATCGTCGCATGAATGTTTATTTCTTACGTTCTTCGAAATGTGGGGGGGGGGGGAGTAGGGGGGCAAGGGGAAGGGAAGGGAGGGGGAGGGGGGGGGAGGGAGAAGGGAGGGAGAAAAGACGGGTGGCGGAGGGGAGAAGGAGGAGGAGGGGGGGAAAGAGGGAGCAAAGGGGTGGAGGGGGGGGGGAGGAAAGAGGGAAAGGGGGGGAAGGGAGGGAGCGGGGGGGAGGGCATAGGAGGGGGAGGGAGGGCGGGAGGGGGAGGGGGGGGAAGGGCAGGGAGGGAGGGCAGGGGGAGGAAGGGGGGGGCAGGAGGGAGGGAGGGAGGACAGGGCACAGGGGCGAAGGGAGGGGCAGGGGCTGGAATCGCGGGAATTCGGGCTGGGGCAGCGAAGAGGAGGGGGAGCGGACCCCCATCTCCTCTTCGCTGGCCGCGCCCAGGGCTGCGAGCGCGCGACAAGCCGAGGCGGGAACCTTTTGTGCCGTCGCTCGGACGCCCATTCCCCGTGCATGGTTTCGGCGTCGTGCATGCTGCTTGCTATCTTGCTCGATGATGCAGGATGTTCCTCGGTGGCCCTCGCCGAGAGAGCACGCGCGCGTCCGAACGATGCCAGGATCCCTGCTGCCACGCCAAAGGCAGCGAGCGCGTGGCAGGCCGAGGAAAGGACCTTTAGACCCCTGGTTGGCCAGGCGTGGGAGCCTCGAGTAGTCGCACGAGCGCCCAATTAGTGAGATCTCGCGGGCCCCCAGACAATCCGCTTGATCCAAACAAATCACACTGGCGATCACACTTGATCCCACCAAAAACAGTTCAAATCCAACGGGAGCGCCCACCCAATTCGCACTAAATCAGATTCGGGCATCAGTTGGGAAGCTCTTGGGTGAAACAGAAGCTCCCACACTTGGCCATCTCAAGGCCCGATCCTCACGCCAAACTGTCGAAGCGGAGGGGGGAGAGAGAGAGAGAGAAAGAGAGAGAGAGAGAGAGAAAACAAAAAGAGAAAGAGAGAGAGAGAGATATATATAAATATAGAGATAGAAAAGGGGGGAGGGGGCCAGGATGACTCAGGAACGAATCGAGAAGGCGGAGCGGCGGTCAGATATCATTGGATCAAGAGAAATCGAATCGGCAGACATCGTCGGGCTAGGTAGGCCTCCATTCGCTCGCTCGGTCGTGCATCCGGCAGGACGCGCCGGCAAACGCAGGTTGCGACGTTGGCAACCGAACGGGAAACACGAACTGCAACTTGCCAGCGGGCGCTGCCAAACTAGGAAAAGGGAGGGGAAGGAGGAATGCGATATTGCCTCAGACCGTGCACTGAAGAGGCCCATTGCCGTCGCGGCCTGCCACGTCGTCGATGGCGCGCCCAACACTTCGGTTATCCATCTGGTTCGCGCGCAACTTGCCGCGCCAGGGAACGATGCCAACTTCCAGAAATCTCGAGGCACGCCTTCTCCTGCCTGCCCAGAGAAATTCAGACAGAGGTTTCGCTCTGGCTCTCTTCAGAATGTAATGTCTGCGAACTCTCGAGATGAACGAGGGAGGCGCGCCGATAATGCGTCGCAGGCACCTGCAGTGGAAAGCGTCGAGGCGTGCCCTGTCTACTTTCAGTAGCCAAGCTGAGGTTAAAGTGTAAAGCAGCTGGCTCACCAAGCAACTTGTATAAACACTTTGCTTTCGCAGTTTTCCAATCGAGGCGCGGTTCCAGAGCTGATCAGACTGCTTGAACACCCCCG